AGACCAGGGCTGTGCGTGCCCAGGCCCCAAATCTTGACTGAATAAACAACAGCTCCTCAGAGCAGTATAGCTCTTTATACCAAAGGAAGCACTTTCACGCACAATGCACCTCTACTTATCTGAACACCAGATTAGGCAAAGCATCTTCCTTTCCTGCAGGAAACCAATGGCTAATACCCAGGGTCAACAGAGCCCTTCGCCAGGCTCCTCTCCAGGCCGCTGGCCAGCTGTAGCTCACCAGGACTCTGGGGTGATTTATCCCAATCCTGTTTATGCTGGCTCTAGTTGATACTGTCATTTTGTGATTTGATTAACTTATTTTCACTGATTAAATGAACGCAGCAACATGTTCTCTTTGGAAACTAAACTGGGGCTAGGGAGTAGCTCTGTGGCAGACAACTCGCCTCGCGTGCATATGGCCCTAGGTTTGATCTCCAGCACTGCAAAACAAAACCCAAAAAGCACGCACTCTACCAGGAGCTCCAACCCCAGTCTAAATTCCTGCTTTGCTTTACAGAAAGCCAAACCGGAATCGCAAATGTAAAATAGGAATGTAGTTCATGTAAAACAGACAGAGGGGAACTCTAAGCAGCAGGCCTCATCCTACATCAAAAGACTGGGAGCGAGTCACGGTGGAGCAAGTCTGTAATCCCAGTGCTGTGTGTGGCTGAGGTAGGAGAACTGCAGTGTGAGTCCAGCCTGGGGTATTTAGTGCCTCAGGGAGACCCCATCTCAAGATGAAAAATCAAAAGTGCTGGACATGTCACTCAGTGCAAAGGCTCCTGATTCAAACCCTAATGCTGGAAAAACAAAAAGAAGAAGGAAGGAAGGAAGGAAGGAAGGAAGGAAGGAAGGAAGGGGCGGCAGAAGAAAGACGGCCTTCTTGCTGTAAATGGAAGCCTCACTGCTAATGCATACTTTAGAAGTTTTTACTATACACTGAGTCAGATCAGAGCATCAACCATACCCGAGCTCCTGTGCCATCCTAACGACCTGAGGGATATCACATGGCAGGTATTCGAGCTCCAGTTCTGGGTTGGACTCTGAGGCTCAGAATTCATCAGCCAGGACCTGGGTCCTTGGCCCTCCACCTGGGGTGCCCTGCTGGAGGATCACTAACAAAGGAACAGAATCAGGGAAGTGTTTCAACACGCTCACTAAGAGAAGCCAATGTCTCTCCCTATAGATGCTCATTTAAAGTGGTTTAGCTGTTATCTCCTTGACTCATCTGAGCGTGTTTTGTTTTGTTTCTGAGATGGATTCTTGCTATTTTGTGTGGAAGTCCTAGGCTCAAGTGATCCTCCTACCTCAGCCTCCCAAGTAGCTGGGATTACAAGGGCACGCCACCACACCCAGCCTCTAAGGTGCTTTGAACAGCATTCTATATTTATGGACAATGAATGAGTTCCTAACAAGATGGTCAGAAGCTGAAATGCAAAAGAAATAAATGATTCATGCCACCCCAATCATGAAAGACCTTTTCATTCTTTCCCGTCCCTTCTCCCTAGTGTCTAGCATACAGGCGTCATTGGCGTGTCACCAGACATACAATTGGACGGTTTTATATCCTGATGTTGTAAGCCCCTCACGTCTGCCACAGTGTATGCAATGCTTGGTAGACGCTTAACATTCGATCACATTAAAATACCTCATTCATCTCAAATGACTCCTCCTGTTTAGTTAGGTCCCATGAAACCAGAACATATATACTGCATTACTCTCAGGCATGGTAAAACATGGCCATGGCTTCTGGCTTCCAAGTGCAGACTTGAGCTGGGTGCCTGGGCTTTCCGGTTCAGAGCCCTATAGCCCTTGGCCCTGGTTCCTCCCCAGTCACCATGCCCTCTTCCTGCCAGCATCACTCACGTTCAGCGCGTGGATGGGCTTGGTGACATTGAACTTGTCCATGGTAGACAGGATGATGGAGGGTGTGGTTAGGAAGAAGAGCACCACGAAGAGGGTGAAGTTGATGCTGAGCCACTGCAGCCACCAGCGGAGGCCCTGGACAGAGAGGTTCTTCCTGCAGAGGGGACACGGTCCAGAGTTTCTGTCCACAGCACAGGCTACCAGCACCAGCAGTGCTGTGGCTGAGGTGGTCAGGTCCCGTCGGATGGGCCAGAAGACTTTCCCAGGGCTCTGGATGGGGTTCACGCGGGCCTCAAGAGGAAAGGCACATTCTCTGCGCTCACCTTCAGCTACCACAAGGCCAACGTGCAGGCCACAGCTAGAGACCAGCACAGAGCCTCCCCACAGAGATGCCGTGAGCAGCAAGCTGAGCAGACAGCCCCTGCATGGCAGTTCCTGGACATCGGCAGTGCCATGTGATGCACAGCACCTTCCTCCTGATGGGCCATGGGCTGGGGTCAAGGGGGAGGCAGGCAAGGACAGTGGGGCGCGGGCACAGCTAGAGCCAGCCTTGGCCGCACGTTCCCTCCAGGAACAGACCCACACACCAGTCCCACGCTCGGGACACCTGTGAAGTAGTGAGCCAAGCAGTCAGGTCAGCTCCAATGCAGTGGCGAGGAAAACTAACACTCATCCTTGCCGCAGCCCACCAGCCCGGGCAGGCAGCTGTGCCCGGACCTCAGCCATGCCCTGGCACAGCTCCGAGCACTGGCAGGTCCCCAGGCTTCCCTGCGGCCATGCTGTCCAGTACAGCAGCCACAAGCACAGGTGGCCCCTGAGCATGAGAGCCGTGGCTGGTGGACCTCGAAGTGGTGGAAGACTTTGAAGACTAAGTATGAAAAGGAGAATGTGGCTGGGGATGAGGCTTGGTGTTGAGCGCCTGCCTGGCTCGTGTTCCATCCCCAAACCATCAAGAAAAAAGGATTCCATGCCGCAATTTTTAAACGGGGACATACAAGGAGAGATTTACTGTTAAAATTCCTTTCGGACATTTTTCTTTGCTAACACAGCTATGAGGAAATCTAATGATACATGTAGTCCCCGTGTTTCCACTGGACAGCGCTGCCCGGTGGGGTAACAGCACAGAGAAGCTCTCAGCCCCTAGGCTGGCCCAGAGGACCCCAGGAGCTCCATGGAGATCGCCCCTGAATGTCAAGTCCACCTATTCTCCAGGAGCCAGGCCACCCTCCACCTGGCCCAGGCAGGTGCTCACCAGCAGATGTCCTCCGGGTAAGCAGCCAAGGTAACCCTCCACCTGGAGACGCACAGCTCTCTGCTGTAGGAGGATGGCTGGGGCTCCCCTTTGCACTGAAGGCTCTGACACTTCCAGGCTCTGAAGTCTTTCAGGATGCTGCCGGGAAATGCAGAGAGGACAAGTCAGAGCCTTGCACAGGAATAGGCAGGCACGGAAGTGAAGTTTTGGTTTCACTGCTGCTATTGTTTCAGAGCTCATGATGTGGAGGAGAGGTCACGCCCAGCTCACTATGCCCAGAGCTGCAGACATTTTCTAGCCCCACAGCCTCAGCAACCAGGTTGTTCATCAGTCTGTCTGCCTCCAGATCCCACTCCCGACAGTGTGCATGTGTCATTCCACTCGAGAGTTCACCTCAGGCAGCTGCAGTGACAATCTTTCTTCTTCTAGCCATGGCCTAGGCTTCATGCTGCATTTCTTGAGACCCTGGAGCACCGTGGCCCCTCACAGTGAGGGCCTGGAGCACCCATCCCTGAAGTGAAGCCATGGAGCACCCATGGGTCATCACCATGAGGCTCTGAAGCATCCATGTGCTCCCACAGTGAGGCTCTGAATCACCTGTGGGTCCCATGTGAGGCCCTGGAGCACTCATGGGTCCTCACTGCGGCCTTGCAGCACCCACAGGCTGCCACTCTGTAATTTTCGAGCACTCATGTGCACCAGCGGAAGGGCCCTATAGCACCTGTGGTGGCCCACATGTGGCCCTTGTGTCCCATGGACTCCCACTGTGACGTCCTGTTACACCACTGTGTCCTTCAGTGAGGCCCTAGCATATCCATGGGTTCTGACAGTGACACCCTAGAGCATTCATGGTTCTACATGTGAGGTCCTAGGCCATCCATGGGGGTCCCATCATGATTCCCCGGAGTATCTGTGGGCCCCTACAGTGAGGCCATCAAGCAAACAGGAGACCTTCCAACTGAAGCCCTGCAAAATCTGTGGGCTCCCCACAGTGCAGCTCAGAAGCAACCATGGGCCTTACATCATGAGCCCCAGAAAGAACCATGGGCCCACCAGAGTGCTGTTCTGGGGCACCCATGGGCTCCCTAAATAAGGATCTGTATCAAGCAAAAGTGAGGCTGCAGAGCACACTGAGGCCTTGCAACACCTATCAATCCCCATGTGAGGCAGGAGAACTCATGGCTCACCACAATGAGGCCCTTCAGCACCCATGGGCCCGCAATGGAACACCCATGGATCCTAACATGAGATCCCAGAGCACCCATGGTTCCCACAATGAAACCTTGGAGCATCCATGTGCTCCACCCTTGTGTCACCCTGGAATACCCATGCATCTCCCATATGGCCAGGGCCACACACTGACCCAACCACAGTGAGGCTCCTAGAGCACTCACGGACCCTCGAGGTGAATCCTACCCCTCAGTTACCCACATGCTGAGATCCTTGCAGAGCGAGGGCAGTACTATCTCTACTCCCTGACACAGCCAGTGATATACGTGTTGTCAAAGTAGGCCGAGAGAGGCTGGGTGGGCTGCACTCACTAGGTGGCCATAGACTTCTCTCGAAGGGTGACGAAGGCCATTCCCAGGGGCTGGCCCTGCACCTGGCGCTCCTCCTCCGTGATCCTGGTCAGCAGCTGGTTGTACAGGCGGGTGTAGTAGGCAATGGTGTCCTCCTGCCAGGAGACACAGCCTGTGGGTGATGTGGCCCCTGGGCCCGGGAGCATGGGCTGGGCCTCGCTGCTCACCTGCTCACAACCCCACCCTTCACAGCAGCAGAACTGGCCACAGGGCCTGGAGTGGACGAAGGTCGGCTGGCCAGTCCTCTCCTGCAGGCTCGTGTAGTAGGCCAGGCTCTTCTCGGTCTTCTTTCTGTGGTAGTGGGAGAGGGTACAGACCAGCAGACTGCAGATCACAACCTGTGCATGCCCGTGCACCCTGGCTGTCAGTCTCCAGGAGAGCACAGGGCTCCACTCTGAGCTAGAAGGACAGGGCAATTCCCTTCCTCCCCATGGAGGCAGGAGTCCAGCCTGGCTAGGAGGGAGGGCACCTCAGGGCAGGGCCCTGTCTCCTACCTCTCCTCGCACAGGTAGATCAGCTTGGCCACATTGTAGCACAGCTGGATGTCAGCCACCTCACATGTCGGATACGCGTCCCTGTGGCGGGGGGGGGGGGTAGCCATGGGGAGAGGCAATCCAGGAGGAAGACCCCACGCGCCTGCCTGGGAGGATGCAGGCACTGCACTGCTTGGTTTGTGGCGACAGAGGCCTCTTTTCTCTGTTATTCAGTCCCCAGGAGGGGAATTCTGAAGTTTAATACAAACTTTTTTGGTTTTATTTCAGTGCTGGAGAGATGGACCACAGGGTTTTGCTCATGCTAAGCAAGCCCTCTACCACTGAGTTACATTTCCAGCCCCAAAGAAAGCATGTTTAGTTTGTACAATTTGTTTTGTTTTGTGTTGTTTTTGAGACAGGGTCTCATTATGTAGTTCAGGCTGGCCTCAAACTCATGGCAATCCTCCTGCTTCAGCCTCCTCAGTGCTGGGATTACAGGCATGCACCACCATGCCCAGCAGAAAGCATATTCTAGTAGCCTGGACGGAACTGAGTCAAAGTGACAAGCATATGCAGTCAGCTTTCCGTCAGATGCCCTGTGCATGGCCAGAGGCTAGCTCAAAGGTTTCCAAAGGGTCTCAGTACTGGGGGTCATCCTCAGCACCACACCCAGCATCTCCTCTAATCACACAAAAGAAGAACTTTAGTGTTTGTTCAGGTTCAGTATCTACCTCCTTGAAGGTCACAGACTTTTAGAGGGTCTAATGACAGCAAGAGACCTCCAGCCCAGAAAATGTCTGTGTACACAGTGACAATCAGCAGAAGGGCTATGCACTGACTATTGGCTAGGTACTGTTACAATTCATTTCCTTCTATAGCCCTCATCATAACCTACGAGGATTGAGAATACCAAGGCCGAAGGTCACACAGATGAGTGTCAGAGCCAGAAGCCAAATCCAGACAGCCCAGTGCCAAGGTCAATGCCAGCAGGTACCATGCAATGCCCATACCACACACAAAATTGGACAGATTTCTGGGATCTCCAGGACCATGACAGTGTCCACGTGCTGCTTTCTAGGTATTGGGAACAGAACCTGGAGAAGCTCGCTTTTCAGGGAGGGAAACGACACATAGACATGAGGTCCCAGTAAGGCTCTGAGAACAGATGGCCAGTGCAGACACGAATGCCACAATGCATACTCCCGTGGGTGGGGCTGGTGGAAAGCAGCTGCTGCAGCAGAGCCTGGAGCTCCGGAGACGGCTGCTGGGTACGATAGGGACCAAGCTGCAAATAGCCAAGGTCCTCCCTGGGTGGACTATAGATCTCAGCAGAAAAGCTCACCTCATGGCTCTTTAACTATGCCTAGCTAACACTCAGACGAGGAGTGAACATTTTCTTGCCCATGTGTTCTCAAGGTGTTTGCACTATACCTGGCCCGCACTCTGGACGCAGGTCAGGTGGTGCAGCCCTGACTGTCTGTGGATGACTGGCAACTGGCAGGTCCATTGCCCAGCACCTGCAGAGCTGCACGTGGCTGTCATCTGATACTGAGACACAGGAGCAAGGCCTCTGGTCCTACCTGGAGTCCACCTACTGTGCCTGCCCTGTGGGCCTCACTGAGACCTGGCCATGTCAGTGGTCCAGCCCCATTACCAGAAGTGCCTCTCAACGTTCTCTTCCTTGGCATCTCTAGGGATCCCACTGATAAACAGGGTCCGTCTAACCTGCCAGAGAAACACATCAGGAGGAAAAGTCACTAAGGTGAGCCACTGCCAGTGGCACAGATTTTTCTCCCACTTCAGTGTCCAGAAAGAAAACAGAATCAGAAGGCCTGGCTTTCTCACCCCGTGGCCTTTGGGGCCCACAGCATGCTGCTGTACTTACAGAGTCCTTGTCAGCTATAAAGGACCCATCTCCAAAGCAACTGAATGAGCGTCCTTTGCAGGACAGGAGCTGAAGGAAAACCCAGAGAGAGAGAGTGACTCAAACGGGCCACAGAGCAGAGCAGAGACCTGGGCTGAAGCCATGACGCAGAAAGAAGGGCTGCCCTCAGCCTCTACATTCTGTGTGTCTGCTGTGCTGGGGCACAGATTCAAGGCTGGACACCCTGGGCAAGCACTGTACCTCTAAGCTGACCCAACCAAGCCCCTCAGCATAAACTTCTCTCCTTAGTCTCACTCAGGCCAACCCAACCCCACAGAACAAAGAGTGAGCTGGCACAATGCGGGGCAGAGGTCCAATACTGGAAACAACCCACCAGGAGACTAAAACACAAAGAAGGTGCCAAGTGAGGCCCAATATGCAAACCAGGCTAGAGGCTACACTGAGCTGTGGCCCTGAAGCCCTATCCCCACTCACCAGGGTCTCCTCTGTGTACTTGATGGACTGCGTGTGGTGCCGCATGAAGCCCACAGTGAGGGAGAGGTAGATGACGGCAAAGACAGCATGCAGCCAGAGCAGGTCATTGCTGAGGACAGCGGGCGCAGGGCCAATGGCTCCATTATCGCAGATGCCTCCAAAGGCCCAGTGAACACCAGGGAGAGCCGGGACCCACGGGCCTCCCTGCTCCCTAGGAACCTTGCAACAACCACAGACACCAGCCTGCCCGCCCTGGCCTGTGTGTCTGCCTCCTCATGGACTTGCCCCTCTGCACCCCACGCCCAGGGCCCACACTCACTGGGTCTCCAGGTTTGCTATGGTGGTCCTTCCAAAACTGTAGGGGTCTTTGTCTGTGGAGAAGCACAGACATGGAGTCCCAGGGCCATGACGGGGACGGAGCACACCTCCCTCTGCTGAGGGAACCCTGGGGAGGCGCCGGTGGAGCGTGGTGCCCAGACCAGTGTGGACAATGACGCCCAAAGTCTTTTCAGAGCTGCGCCAGGCAGGGCCTCTACCGGTGATTTCTCAATCTGCAAGCCCAGGCAGAATTTATATTCTTCTCCCTTAGAGAATGTTTTCTTTTTTAGATGCTTGGAGAAAGCTAGAGATTTCCTGAGCTGTTACCGAAACCAAGACATGGAATCACTAGGCACACAAATGTTTCCACGTGGCATTTGGAAGCTGGGAAGATACAGTTCCACACTGATGTTGGCTGAGCATCACAGATGTCTTCCCGGCCCAGAAACTGTGGCCTCCTGAATTGGGTGAGGGCAGGAAAGTGCAGAACACTTTCTGAAACCCCTTTATCCTACCAACCTCTAGGTTTTAAAAATCCTATTTGGACAGAAGCAGAAATTGGCACCAGGGGCCCCAGTTCTGGGCCTGGGTTGGGGGCTGATTCCCCTCCAGACCTTTACTCTGACAGGACCCTCCTCAGCCATCCCCAAACGGCCTCCCTTCTGGAACGGGCCTTGACTGCGGGGTGACGCTTTACCCCAGTGAGCCCCTGCCTCAGCCCCCCGCCGCCCACTGCCCCTCCCAACACAGACAGATGTGAGGCCGGGTCATTACCCAGCAGGTCTCCCGAGAGGTTCACGGGCAGGATGATACACAGGGACAAGGCACTGACTGCCACCAGCAGGAAGATGAGGTGCCTCTGGAAGGACAGGTAGTGGACGGCATCCTCTCCACACCTCTCCCGGATCTGGTCATCGCTGGCCGAGACACAGAAGGAATTGTTGGAAGAGGTGCGACTGTCTGATGTAAGACTCACAGCAACCCTCGGAGATGGTGTGCTATCATCCTACTTTAAACTACTTTTTAACGTATGTGGATACAAAGGTCCAAAAAGAATGCCCACGCCCTTGGCCCCTGCACCACAGTGGAGGCACAGGAATGGCCACCTGCCACCTTATGCCGCTGGGGACATCTGTGCCCACCACTCACATCTGGGCGCGTGGAGATGGGCATCCCACAACCCTTCCTGCTTCAGTGGCAAGATGGCAGCAGGGAGCCACCTTTGGAATACAGCGGGGGGTGCCTAGGCCCCTGGCCACCCTCCTTCCATCTCCCCACAGGTGAGCCTGCGCTCTGGGTGTTGTAATGTCATTGCACCTGACCAGTCCTGCCTCCTTCCTGGTCCCTTCCATGGCCCCAGAGATGGGAGGTGGCCTGCTCCACACTCGCTCCCTATGAAGTTCTGGGTGCACTGGGACATGGACTCTCTAGTCTCACACAGCCAGACTCCCTTGCTAGAGGGGAGGGGGCTGTGCTCCACCCTTTGCACAAGCGGCTTCCTGAAGGCAGGCAGCATGGCCGGGGAAGGGCTGGGACATGAGCGCAGGCCCTCCTCCCGCCTCTGCTCAGAGCAGGGACACTGGCCACCTCCCTCCTTGTCTAGCAGGCTCAAGGAGTGGGCATCAGGCACCCAACGCTGCGTCTGGCCCTGAAGATGCTCAGAAATATGCTTGGGAATGGGAGTCCTGCCTGCTACTTCTCTCCAGGACAAAGCTTTGCAATGAATAGCATCTTCTCTCTTAAATTAGCCACCCGTTTTTCTGTGTCCTCGACAGTCTCTTTTATTCTCAGTCTCCACATGCTGCCTGAAGAGCAGGCTCCTTGGCTCTGTCCTCCCCACCGGCCAAGTGCCTGGACAAGGCAGCCCAACCAAAGCCGCCCGCCCCCAGGCACTGCTCCAGGTACTCACTGTAGACGGAAGATGGCCATCAGCCAGGGGCAGCATCCCTGGGGACAGAGGGGGATTAGCGTCCAGGAGCTGGGGTTTGGGAGGCACATGGCTTTGAAAGGAAGTAACCATTAGCCTCCTGTTAGATAAACACAGCACTTCCGTCCTACGTCAGAAAGCTGCCGCTCGTCCAAGGTGTCAGAGCCTGTTGCCCCCGGGCCTTGGCAAGGTGCATCCCAAGCCTGGAACTTTCACTGAACCCCCACATTCTGATAATCTGAGGCTTCCAATCACGAAACAAGGATCAAGAGGTGGTGAAGCCCAAGGTGCTCTAGAGAAAGGGATGTGGGCTTCTGTTCCATTGTTTCTAAAGGACCAGACGGAGATGGGATAAGAAGAAACAACCTTAATCAATTGGACAGTGCCTTGCAACGAGGTTAGAGAGGGAAAAGGGTGGGTGTAGGTCTTATTGACCTTCACATCTTTTAAACTTTCTAGTCTCTAAAGCTGGCCTCTTACCCTGTTGGGAAAGAAAAATATTTGTTCATCTCAAATATTTGAATTGGAATTCAACAATGACTAAGCACCCACTGGGTACCTGGTGCTGGGGAGAGGACTAGAAAAGCTGGGGTGGAGCGGACAGGACAACGCAAGGCCGTAAGAAGTATGAGGCACACACATGCAGGAGGCTGGAGCCCCACGCCTCTCTGCCTGGGAGTCACTAGGTCTCTGAGTGCCGGGTCGTCTGGGTGGTCGTCAAGGTCAGATGCCTTTGTTGATGCCAGGGGAGCACTGTCCAGCTCTGGCTCACTCCACAGCCACAGGGCCCAGAACACAGACCACGCAAACCACCAACCACTACCATCCCCAGTCTGGCCACAGCTCCACTGCTCCTTGGGTACCAACCAGTTCATTTTCCAAGTCTTGTTTCCCTGAGGAGGAAGGTGATGACAGTCTCTGTAATCTGGATTTATTGGAGACACAAAACAGAAAAAGAAGTGACACATGGCTCTAAAAAAAAAAGAAGTCAAAAAAATTAGTCCAGTATTTTGCTGCCTAATCTTAGAATTCGAGACCAAATTTATCAGCTCTCACTGGCTGGGACAAAACTAAATGAGAAACCCAAAGTATAAGTAATTTAAAGAGCACAATACAAGACACATGATAGGAAAGAAGGAGGTAGAGTTTGTGGAGATTGGAAGAGGGCATGGGGACAAATGGATACAGAAGGGAAGGAAGGGGAAATTTAAAAAGATCTTGGGGCCAGGGATTTAGCTCAGTGGCACCTCACAAGTGCAAGGTCCTGAGTTCGATCCCTGGTACCAAAAAAAAAAAAGATCGTGGCGAGTTTTGTATATGTACCAATTCCCCATGGTGAACATATTTATTAGGCATCAGACACACACACACACACACACACACACACACACACACTAAAACCAGAATTAAAAGCTAAAAAGCAAAGCATAAGTTTTGTAAATTATGTAAGAGATTGTGTTTTTGGTTTAGCATTTAGTTGCAAGGTTTAACAATACAGGACACTCTCCAGGCCCTGTGAGTAGAGCAAGTCCACTTTTGAAAATACTGTATTTTACCAAGCCTACGATACCACTGGTTGTCAGGTGCACAATTAATTCATGAACCACTGAGAAGAAAACAATGCTGCCAATCAACATACGACCGGCATTGATAATAAGATGAACCCCAACTCAGAGGTAGAGATGGCAGACCCTCCTTTAGGGCTGACGCACTGTGGCACTTGAAATGGTGGCCCTTTAACCAGACCCTTTCCTCTGAGCACTTCACAAGAGCACCCCGTGAATCGCAGGTGTCTAGGCCACATGAATTCTGCTTTTCTCCTACCTCTGGCTCCACCATCCCACCTCCAATGGCCTAAAGCAAGAGGAACTGCAACGTTTGAAGCATTCACACAAAGGTGCACAGCCACCCCAAAGGCAGATGAGCCTGGGGCCTGCCCAGGAGCACAGGGCCTCCAGGGCCCCATAAGCTTTTTCCCACTGCAGAGTGCACCCTGCTGGGCTGACGGTGTCAGAAAGCATCAGATGTCCCCCACAGGTGACCCCTGGTGCAAAGTCATGGCCCCCGGGTTCTGCCAGTGCCAGAGCAGAGACCCCTGTCCAATCAGAGGCTCTAGGTCAACACCACGAGGGTGGGGGCTGCCCAGGCTCCTCAGTGGGCGATCAAGGCCCTGGGAGCTGTTTTCTCCACTGCACGAAGCCCAGGAAAGTGCACAAGGCCACTCTGTGCTCAGAGCAGCCACCGAGGAGGAGGCCATCCTGGGTCTTCAGGGAGGGCAGGTGTACCTGGGGGTGCCGCCCTCGCACACGGGCCCTGCCCGGCCACTCAGCAACACACTCCCACACTCCCACACTCCCACACACTCGCTCACCATCTGGGGCATCCTTTTACCTGTCTGCTTCTGATACCAGGGCAATGCGGCCATAATCCCAGAATCTTCTTCTTATGATGGAAAACACCAAGATTAACAACTAGAAGCAGGAAAGAAACCAAGTAGAAGTCCACTGCATAGCTTTCAAGGAAAAGCCCGGCTGCCCAGACTCAGCAGGGTGAGAAGGAAATCATCCAGGCCCACAGAGGGCACCAGGCCCCCCAGGCCACACACCTCAGTGGCCCAATGCTCCGCTCGCCTCCTTCGCTGGCTCCCACCTCCTGCGCCCACGTGGCGGCACGTTGCTGGGAGTGCCCCCGCCACACATGTGAGCCTGCCCTTTGCTCTACGACAGGACAGATGCCATGAGGCCTGATCCCAGCCCTGGCCTGAACAGCACTCCGAGTGGCCAAGTGCGATCTGGCCCGCAGGCTGCCCAACAATCTCTCTTCTCTTTACATAGAGTTTTTTTTTTTTAAGCAATGGCTCTTGCTATATTGCTCAGGCCGGCCTCAAGTTCTTGACCTCAAGACATCCTCTTGCCTCAGCTTACGGAGCAGCTGGGACTACAAGGCACACAGCATCAATCCCAGCTTTAGAGGTTCATTTAAGATACAGAACCACAGTACCAAGTTTCCTAGGCAGAGCAGGGATGACTGGGTTTCAGGTTGAGTTTGGTTTTCTTGACATGCACTGTGCTAACGCCAGCACAGATGCAGCCAGGAAAACTCCGTAAGGGCCTGGTGCCCTGGACTGCATCCACTATTAGTAGGCTGGGATGGAGCAGAAGGCCTGCGCCCCCCAGCAGCAGGAGGAGCCTGAGGTCTTTCCCTCGGTTGGCTCTAGAAACCTACAAGCTCCAGACCGCCTGCTCACTCCTCCCGGGCCACCCTGGCCACCTCCCCTCAAGGTTCATGGAGGTGGAGGGAGACATGTCCATTAGCAACCCTGCCGGCTCTGGACAGAAACTGGGGATTGACTGATCTGCTTATTAAGTCTGCAGGGCTGGATATGGAACCCACGCTCTCCCACGTGGTGGGCAAGGCTCCACCATGGAGCTGTGCTTCCAGCCCAGAAATGGAGTTTAAAGGTAGGCTGTGTTTTTCTGAAGGGAATGCAAAGGGCCTGCACACACTTGGAGCCCTGAGCCCCAGAGGGCTCTTCTCAGGGGAATCAGGTAGGTGGACATCTGTTCTCGAAGGCGCGCGAGTCTCAGGGTGGAAAAACACGAGGCTGCTCCACGGGTGCCCAAACTGGGTCTGCAGCCAGCCCTCTTCTGCTCTTCTTAGCAAGTGTGAAACCTGGTTCACAAGTGACAAGCAGCAAAAGCAAAAGCAAAAACAAAAAACCCAAACAATGAAGCCGCCCTTACAAGGCTAGGTGTGGTGGCACATGTCTATAGTTCCAGCTGCTCTGGGCTCTGAGGCAGGAGGATGGCTTGAGAGCAGGAGTTCAAGGTCGGTGTAGGCATCACAGCTGACTTCATCTTTTAAAAAAGAGCCCACCCCACGCCTACCACACATTGCAGGGCACTGACTTTCTTTTCAACTGGCCAGCAGCAGGCCAGTGGTGTGGGGAAGACAGGAAGTTAGCACATGGGAGCAGCCTCCCACTCTGACCCAACCACACTCTCTGGCCCCCTTGTCCCTGGGACTCACCCTCCCAGGCCTTGGAGAAGGCAGGCAGGCAGTCGCCCTGCCATTAGAGGCGTGCCAAAAAGCAGCTGTGGTTCTACTCGCACCACCTCCCCAGGCTCCAACACTTTTGAGAGAGGGAGGGATTACCACAGTGTCTCTACTTTCCCAAGCAGACGCAGCCGACACATGCCCTCGGTGACAGAGGTGCACGTCAGCAGCAGAGCCGTGCCTGACCTCCCACCACATGCCCCAGAGGCCCTGGGGTTAAACGCACACTCGAGGGGATGTGCTTGCAAGGGTCTCACCAGGAAGCAGCAGACATCGATGAGCAGGACAGTGGGGATGCCTCCGAAGGTGACCCCCTGGAGCACTGTGCTGTTTTGGGCAGAGTTGTAGCAGTAGGAGTCATTGGCCTTGTCCCCGAGGCCCAGCCCCTCCCGGATGGACACGGTCTCGGGCCACCACAGCTCCAGGAGTGGGGAGTCGATCATTGCACCTGCCCTCCCTGCAGAAAGGGATGAGACAGGCAGTCAGCACGCAACATCTCTGCCCGTTTCTCCAGTCAAGGATGGGTGGCTCTTGGGGCGTGGGGAGCTGCAGGCGGCAGCACAGAATCAGGGACAGCTGGGCGCTGGGCTCCAAGTGCTGGCAGGATGGGAGGACAAGAGGCCCACTGCAAGAAGAGCTGAGAGGGTGTGACGGACTGAGCGATGGTGGGCAACCCAGAGGGAGCGAGGAAGGGAACTAAAAAGCAGCTGTGGCTCCTGGCTGAGAGAAGCTGAGGTCGCCGTAGCCTCAGGACGGCTGCTACAGGGAAAGGACTTCCTCTGGGAGCCCCAGGGGACCCAGAGCAGGCAGGGGAGGAGGAGACCCAGACCACTCGAGGACGCACCATGGGCCAGCCGAACCTCGGATAAGAGGCTGCCGTTCTGGGAGTGTCACAGCTGGGTCTGGGAGAGGGGCCCATAGGCACACTGGGATCAGTGGCCTGTCCGGCACATGCCACCTGGAGGAGCAGACGGAGGGGACGCAGGGCAGACAGGACCCATTCCACCCTCCCATCCTGGTGCTCTTCCTCTCGAGAGGGTCAGCATTTGTGGAACAAACTCTGCCCCAGGCTGGGTGCTGGCCTGTCCTTCCGGCCCTCCAGCGTCCGTGCCCTGGCCGGACTCAGTGCCTAGGTCCTTCCCTGTGTCCATGCCGCGGCTGAGGAACCAAGGAAATGCACTGCCCCTCTCCCTTCCCTCCACCTCCCCACCCTGGTCAATTCAGACTTGCCCGGAGAATTGTGTTCAGTCTGCTCTTTCTGCTTGGGGGCGAGGAAGAAAAGCATGGTGAGCCCAAGCAGAGGTCTGGGATTCCTGGAGAACTGGTGGGGTGTCCCTGTGTGGGGTGACTCCTGTCTGACTCTGGCCTGCCCAGCTCGAGACCCTCACTCGCTGCCACACAGAAGGATGTGCAGGGTTGAGGGCTGCAGCCCAGGGCACAGCAGGACTGCCGAGGACGCCAAGTCCCGTCTCGCCCTGTAAGAGCGACTGGCACGGCTGCGAGAGGTGGGGTGTGACCACGGACGGGAGACACCCGTAGTACGGGTCTTCTGGGTTTCCTCCTTTAGGCTGTGCCGAGGGCATCACCTCAGGGAACACCCCGCCCCAACTGTGTCAGGCCACTCCCGCCCTTCCTTCTCCAGCCCACACTGACCAGTCACGTGGGGAGGACCGAGGACAGGTTGTCGGAGAGGTCCTCACGCTGAGCTGTCTCTGACAGCATGGCAGCCTGGGCCCTTCAGCTGCTGCACCAGGCTCTGCTGCCACCCACATCCTGCCAGATTCCTTCCTGACCCTGTGACTGGCTGCCCTGGCCTGTCACTGGCACCACCCACTTCCAGCTTAGGGGTTCTGGATGGGAACCCTCAGCCCTTCCTCTGACCAAACATCTCTGAACGCAAATGTCCACAGGGGGCTTCTGGTTCTGCCCTGGAGGTTCCTTCCTTCCCTGCTTCTCCCCGAAACTCCCAGAGCAGGTCCCTATCCATAGTGCTCCCCGGTGCCATGTGCTTCTCAACCAGCACCCAGCGGCCCCAGTCCCTCCCTTCTCCAAGGGCTCCAGGCCCTGTCTTGTGGCCCAAGCAGAACCCCCAGCCAGGCCTCACACAGGCCCTGGGGCTGCTGCTGTACCCCAAGTTCCCTCAAGGCTTAGAATCAGGAAAAGAGAACACAGCAGAACCAAGAAGGTTGGAGAGTGGAGAGAGGGATGCTCACAGTGGAGCCTTGTCTCTGGAAAGGGGGGGGTACTGGGTGGCTGGGGAAGGTGTAGGGAGCGCTGCGGTGTGGCTTTGTGTTTGGCTTTGGGGCAGACAGGCAGGAGGGAGGCTATGGCCTTCCCTCTGCAGCCCAGTCACACCACCAAGCCACCGTCCTCTTTCTACATGGGCCGGCTGCAGGACCCAAAGTTTGCTAAGAATTCAGGGTCAGCTAGCAAGCGTCCGGCCTGGGCTGGAGCTCAGGCTGGGTCTCAGGGCCACCTCATCCAAGTGGCCTGTCCTCTGGCCCTCTAGGTGTGGACCCAGGTGAGGGCACAGCCTGTGGCCCACAGTTCCTCGGGCTCTTCTTGCCCAGTCCTTGCCTGTGACAAGCAAGGAGTTTGACCTTGCAAAAACACCTCTGTCCCTGCTCTCAAGGCAGTCCCTCCATCTCCCCCTCTTGAGAGGGCAGGAGGGCCACATCCACAGGGGCAGCCCTGCCAGAGGGGAAGGCTGTGGGTGGAGGGACCAGGCCAGCAACCAGGGTCTGGGGGTGCAGCCTCTCTAGCACCTGAGAGGCCCCGGGTTCCATTCCCAGCACCACAAATAAAATCTTTTTAAAAAAAACTTAGCAACTAGACACTGTGTCAGCAGAAGCTTAGCTTCATCCCCTCGGCAACATTCAGTCCTGCTGTATTCATCAGGTGCATACAGGTGGAAACAGCTCTGCACCCATCCCCTCACTGCTACCCCACAGCCTGAGGTGTCCCAGGTGACTTCAGCGCTCACCCCACTGTGCAGCCCATGCGCACCCAAGTCTGGTTCTGGGTGAGACAAGGCTGGATCCAGCAGCACATCTCAAACTTGCTGAAGAAGCCGGTCACCAGTGTGAACCACTTCCTGCCTGAGCTGGCTGCAAGGCCCAGCCCCTGCAGCAGACAGGACAGTCCTGTTCCTCCTCCCAGAGCCCCAACAGAGCCTATGCAGAGTCAGGGTCCTTCTGTGGTTACCAGATCTTCCAATCTGGCCCGATCACAGCAAGCCTACTACCCGTTTTATTCTTTTTGCTTCTCTTCAGCTACCTCTGATCAGCCCGGGGCAGGAGAAGGGTGCAAAGCAAACACCAACTTCTTAGGGCACCGATAAACGGTGTAGGGGCCCGGACAACTGTCACCTCTGAGGAAGTCAGTCCTGGTGCTGAAACGGGAGGCTGGGGCTCTGTGTCAAGTGAGCAGGCTGCAGCAGGCAGAGCTCCACACCACACTCACTAGCACTCACCCACTCTGCGCTTTGGCGTCCTTCTCCATAAACTAGGGGCGATGATGCTGTCTTAGGGGTGCTGGGGCACCCCTGGAGCCCTGCCAGTAAGCACTGGGCCCCGTGCTTGGCCTAGGGACCAAGGGAAGCCGTTTGTTCACATTTTACCCGCTCCCGCCCCGGTCCTCTCTGCTGGAGCAGCTGGACGGCCAGGACAGCTCTGTCCCAGCCACAAGCAGAGAGGTCGTGAAACAGCAGGGGCCTGGCTTCTCTCCGCACCCTGAGGTAGAGCGGGCTGGGCACCATGGGGGCCATGGGGCAGGAAGGCTGCTCCCTGGCCACGGCTGGGTGTCCCGTCCCCCAGAGCAGGCCAGGTGCAATCCAGTGCTCTTGGGCCTCCAGGGTCTGGTCCTGAGGTTGATCCCAAAGCAAACCAAGCCTGCGCTGTCCAGAGAGCGCCTGGGCCCTCTAGGATATGACGCCGCGGACCCGTGTGGGGACCCCAGCGACAGAGGCCAGCGTTGACGCTAGCGGGTTCTCCTGCCCGCCGCCGCTGGAATGGAGAGCAGCAGGCTCGTGCGGTCCGCAGAGCCCGACACCCCACGCGCCCTCGCGCCGTTGCTGGGACAGAAGGTGAGGGGCCGGAAGTCCCGTTGTCTGCGACCCCGACCCGGATCACGGGTGCTTCCGGGTCGTCGGTGCTGCGGGCGCCCTACCTGCGCAGGCGTTAGCCCCCTCCTCGCGGCCAAGTCAAGTCCCAGCGGCTGCGCAGGCGCAGCGCACGCGCGCGGAGTCTCAGGCAGGGCCGGACTTGGACTTCCGGCTTGCGGTTCTCTGGGTGAGGCCGGCCACGCCCGGCTTTCCGGGAGAGCGCGGCCTGCGACGCGGACTTGAGGGAGCGGGGCGCTCTGCGTACGCGGGATCGGACGGGACGTTTTGGGCTGCGCACATGCCGAGCTCCTCAGCGGGGATTGAAGCAGTTCTGGGATCCCCGCGCCATGTCTGAGTGCTCCGTCCCCAGTGCGCAGACCCGCAGGGTTTCCAGGTCTCTCCTCCGAGTCTGGTCTTTCACGTTTCCGCTGATTGCAGCCCTAGTGTGACTGTCGGGGGAGGGTGTCGCTTTCCTCCGCTCTCAGGTTCTTTCTGTGCCATCCGGGCTTCTGCCTTCCACCCTCCAGCCCCACAGCCCGAATTATGGCACTTTAAAAGTTAGACTTTGTTCCTCAGAGACAAATGGCTTCTCCACACTTCTTAGGCCTAGTACAGAAAAGGTCACTAACACCTCTGTGCAGCCCAGGTGTCTGGATAGAACGGGCAGGAGTGGGCACCGGGAGGTCAAGCCCAGTTTCCAAGGGGAAGAGAGAGGTGGGTGGGTCCAGAGAGGGGTGGAGCAACCCTGGACAGGTCTGTTGTCTCATTGTGGTCTCTCCTCTACTGTTCCTCCTCTAAAAGACCCTAGCACACCTATAGATGGGGAAACGGTGATTTGGTGATGAGGCCCCTCCATCTCCTGGGAGCTGGCTTTGAATAAAGCCTTTTCCCTTTTTCACTAAATTGCCCCCTTTGACTTGGTCAGGTGGCTGGTAACAGTCCTGGCTTCTGAATGTCTTCAGTTTCTGGTTCCAACTGGGGAGGTGGTAGGCGCTTGGGGAAAAGGACTGACTGCTCTAGGAACATTTAAGTAGCTGTAGGGAACATCTTTGCGTGTCCCTTCTTTCCAGTTTGTGGCATCAGCTGCCCATAAACACTTTTTGGCTTTCGCTTTTTTGTTTTGAGACAGGGTCTCACTGTTTAGTCCAGGCTGGCCTTAAACTCACTATGCAACCCAGGCTGGCCTCAAACTTGCAGCGATTCTCCCAAGTACTGGGATTACAAGTATGTGTCACCAGGCCTGGCTCTAAACACGTGATAGTGGAAGGAAAAGGTTTGGTTTCTTTTTATCTTTTTCTTCTTATAATCACCTTTACTTCTGAAATGGGCAGCTGAGCTTCAGTGCCATCTAGGAGCCCCCTGGGGTGCACACTGAGTAACTGGACAATCACCAGGATGCTATGATAAAGAGCTGATGATGCTGTGCGATTGTAACTGCATGGCCTAATGTGTTAGACTCTGGTGAAAGGTCGCCACCTAATGGTCCTTTAAATTATTACACCATATTGCATTTGGAGTCATTTTGTGAAAATCAGGTAAATGGGGTGAAGTTCTTTATATTCAGGCCTTCATGGTATTGCATAATGAGGATTCTAGAAATGAGGGAGAGGGAGGTAGATTGCTGGTTCAGAGAGAAGAAAGGATTTTGCCCCTATTCCAGATGTTAAAACTCTAGATGGAAAGGAAATTAGGAAATTAACATTTTAAATGCTCTTAAGCCACACCCAGGGAGTGTGGAGCTACTTCTTTTCCAGGCCTTGGGGAAGATGAGGGGCCACTGGATTTGCAAGGCAGGAATGTTTTGCCCCTTTAAGACCCAATAAGACCCTCACATTTGCCCAGGGAACTTTCCATTTCAGGGCAGGACAATACCTTCTAAGGCAGAATCCAGGCAGAGGTTTGAACAAGGATGACCAGCTGGTAGATATTACTGGGTTTCCAGTCCGTTCTCAATCTCTGACTTGGTGAGCCAGAGAAACCCTAGTATGTCATGTAGAGATGACTGATGGAGAATCATTTGTCTACATTTTTGTTTTTTTTTTTTTGGTACTGGGGATGGAACTCGGGTCCTTGCACTTGCGCAGCAGGCAGCAAAACCACTGAGCTACATCCCTGGCCTGTTTGTCTACATTTTTGCCTCCCACTTTCCTGCCTGGGCAGTGAAGCTGCCAGTTCCTCTGAAAGGAGGAGGCTAGAGGTAGACAAAACCATTGAGGAGGCATGGCACCTTCAATGAGAAATCTACAAGAAACCCCAATCCTTTATATATATGACCCATCAGTAGATCCTGACTGGGACAAACAAGGAAGAATAACTACTGAATAATTATAAGCAGTACCTTCTGGCAGGACTTAGGAAAGGTGTACCTAAGCTGAAAGGTTTGAACAAGATACAAGAACTTTAACAGAAGGCAGATGAAGACTTCAGAATGTCTAGAAAGGGTTTACCAGACATATTGAAAGTATACAGATGTTGATCCAGAAGATGCAGGGATTATGAGGATGGTTAACACGACACTTACAGAGCAAAGTGCCCCTAATATTCATAGAAAGCTTCAAAAATGAGAGGAAGCAATAGGAATGAATCCAACTCAGTTGGTAAATATTGCCTTTAAAATACATAACGTGCCAGTCGTGGTGGTGTACATCTGTAATCCCAGCACTCAGGAGGCAGAGGCAGGAGGATTGCTGTGAGTTCAAGTCCAACCTGGAATATGTAGTGAGCTCAAGGCCAGCCTGAACTACATGGTGAGACCCTGTCTAAATAAATAAAGCAAGATAAACAAAAGATGAGACAAAATGTAACCTTCATGGCCTTGGAAGGACACTATGAGAGAGAAAATGGACATGGCTCAGGAAAGTATAAAAGGAGAGAATCCTTACGGAGGGACTAATGTGCGTATTGCAAGGAAGAAGGGCACTGTCTGAAATTAAAGGGTTTAGGAAAGAAGGAGGAGAAAAAGCACTTAGTCAGATGATGAATGAAGACTCCCAGGAGCTGTTTTCTGTCAGAGCCAAGTGATTTCCCCACAAGAGCCCTGTGTACAGCTGACAGTAGGACAGTGTCTTGGTTACTCTTCCCGTTGCTAAGAGAAAATACTCTACACCCAGATTAAAGGAGGAAAGGTTTATTTGGCTCACAGTTTATAGCGGTTTCAGTTCATAATTGGCTGGCTTCAAGGCAGAGTGGCATGGCAGAGGGGCATTGTAGAGGAGAAACAGTCCATGGAGGGCAGAAAGCAACAAGCAACAAGCAACAAGCCCATTTCTGTCCCTCATATCCTGGCCAGGCTACTCACCCTTAGAGGGGTAGCACTGCCATCCCATGAACCAATCCCAGTGTCACACACTCTAGATCAAGCCACCTCTGAGAAGCCCTACTGTGACTGCATGAGGCTTTGGAGGGACATCTGGACACAGCCATAACATTCTGCCCTTGGCCCACCAAAGACTCACGCACATCCCTTTATGCAAAAGGCATTTAGTCCGTCTTTAAGAGTCACCAAAGTCTTCACAGTTTCAGCACTGCCGAAAAGTCCAAGTCCAAAGCTTCCTTTGAGATTTAAGGCACACTTATCTACCAGCCCTGGTACAAATGAAAAGAGAGTTAAACCCTTCCAACATACAACGGCACAAGACAAACATGACCATTCCAAAAGGTACAAATAGAGGTATAGAAAGGAACAGGACCAAAGCAAAATCCAGCAGGGCAAACATTAAGTCCTGTAGTTCCATGTCCAGCATCCGAGGCAATCTGTGGCAGGATGTGAACTCCAAAGGGCTTGGGTGGCTCTGCCCCATGGCACTGCCAATGGTTGTAGCTCCCATGGCTTCTCTCTTGGGCTGGCTCTGCTCCCTCCTTGCAATTTTCCTCAGACAATCTACGCTCCTGGCTTCTCCAAACTTCTGAGGTCTTCACTGCACCATCAGCTTCACACTCACAGCTCCACACACTGCCCTCTCAGGGGCACACTGCCTGGCCTCCCAGCCCTTCTTCTGAAATCTAGGTGGAAGCTTTCCTGACCCAAGTCTTGCATTCTGCGTGCACCTAAAACCAGCACCATGTGAATGACACTAGGGTCTGCCACCAGCAAGAGCTGTAGCCAGGCTTCCTTTTCTCTGGGCTGTAGGTATCGAGTACCTTTGTCCCTGAGCACTCTGAACCTAATCCCAAGGAACAAATTCTCTAGGTCATCGACATTCTGGTTTTCTCTTCTCAAAGCAGTCTTTGACCTTTGCAACTCTGAGGCTGCAAAGGCTGGAGTCCTGCTGGTTCTTGTGATGTCCTCAGGCCATCTTTTTGTTATCTTCTGAAACACTTGGCTTTTTCTTGCTAGTCTCTTCAGTGACAAATTTCTCCTCTGTTCCATATTTGCAAGCTGCAACTTTACTACAGCTTCCTTTCTGGCCAAACTCAAAATGTTTTAAATTATTCTTCTGGGCCCTTTGCTCTTGATTTCCATATAAATCTGGCTAAAATCCCCAACAATAACCATGCCATGGCCTCAACATTAGACTGCCTTGAAATTTCTGCAAGATGAATCTGACCTCCACCATTCATCTTAGTCTTAAGCAGAGTCTCTAGGCATGAGCAAAATATAGACAAACTTTGTGCCAAGCCATAACACACATTGTCTGGAGTCCAACAGCCAGGGCAGTCATTCTATCCAGGAGAAACCTCCCGAGCCTGGCCTTTACCAGCAACATTTCTGTCAGCATTCTGGTCTTCTGAGCTCTAATCAGAATCTAACATCAAACACAGCTTAAAGTATTCCAGGGCTACCTTTGCAGCCAGCATCTCTGAACCTTTCCTAACTCTTCCCACACGCCAGTTCCAAAGGCTCCTGAACTACATAATAAGGTACAGTCACAGCAATAGCTCCACTTCTCTAGTACCAAATTCTGTCTTGGTTATTTTTCTCATTGCTGGGTTGGATGCACAGCACCACGAAGAAAGAAGAATCCAGAGGGACTGGGGATTCCTTCTCCATTGCCACTGACGCAGAATGAGGCTGCCCCGTGATCAAGGGGCTTCTATCTTAGCAAGGGGCGGGCAAGGCACATGAGACTTTTACCACCAGAGCAGCAAGGGCAGCAAGCAGGGGGCAAGCAGCAGACGGCTTACTGTGAGTGGTGGAGGCTCCTGGGCTTCTGCCTCACTCCCTTCCTGGCTTGCAGATTCTTCTGTCTGCAGGCAACAGCGAAGGGGTGCACGATGGACACAAGTGATCTCCCTGAACTCACCCCCTCTGAGCAGAGAGACAACTTGACACCAGAACAACAGCACCAGCTGCCTCTGAGCCCCCAGCAGTAAGGGTGTGTGTGGCCCGAGAGGCAGAGGTGGGGAGGGAAGGGCCACGGCACAGCCTACTACCCTTGCCTTTCCCAGGGAGGGGTGGGATTGGAGAAGGCTGCTGCTGCTTCGACACAGGAAGGGGTGGGAATGGGTGGGGACACCGTGGTCTCCCTGGGTCCTGTACCTGGTAGTGGAGAGGGCTGAGGTGCCGGAAGCAGCCAAAGCAGGCATGGGCCAGGCAGACCAGGATGGTAAGCAGCACGGCCAGGAGGGTGAACAGGGTGGCAGGGGCCTGCAGACCTGGGGAGGGAGATGCTGGCCCAGGTTGGGGGGCTGCTTGCTGGAGGGGTGAGCCCTCCCCGCTGGCCCTGCAGCCCAGCCTCATCTAGCAGCCAGGACAGAGACCCTACGGCCAGGAGCAGAGTGACCCACAAGTCGCCTGCCTTTTGCTTTTTCCCAAGGTGTCTTTGTCCCTCCGGCTCCCCCATCCCCTCCACACTGTGGACCGTGACGTCTAGGACCGGGCAGCACCGAACAGCAGTCCGGAACAGCTTCCCCTCTGCTCTGGCTCACCCCCTTGGAGCTGGCTTCAGCCTGGCACGTCTGTGGAGGACGAGCTGGGGCACTGGGCCAAGGCACCACACAGCCAGCCTTCACTGGGTGCCAGGCTCGGATCAGACACCACCAGGTTGGTACCTGATGGCTGGCTGGAATGGTGGACGCGGGACCAGGAGGCCAAGCCCTGGCCCAGGTCAGGAAGCTCGCTCACCCAGGCGAAGGAAGGAGAAGAAGAAGAGCCAGAAGAGGCAGAGGATGGGTGCAGCCAGGGCCTGGCTCACGGCAGAGAAGTGCAGCCTCTTCTCCAGCTTGGCCGGGAGATAGACGAAGCAGAGGTTGTGCCGGTCCACCATGTGCTTGAGCAGGATGTAGATGAGGCCTGCGAAGGTGGGGCCCGAGTGGGTGGCTGCCGGCTGAGGCACCAGGGCGCCTTCCCTGGGAGGGTGTGGCTCGGCTGTGTGGAGCCAAGGTGCAGGGCTGAGCAAAGTCTGAGGCTGCAACGGGCCAAGGCACGTCCTAGCTGCAGGCTTGTTCCCGCGCCCTCCTCACCTGCTTCCTCCCTTCTCTCTGCCCCTGAGGGAATGGGAGCCCCTGGGATGCCGGGTGAGGCCTGAGCAGCGGCAAGACAGTGCTGGCGTGGGGTCCAAGCTCCCGGGCTGGGGCTGCTGGAGCGCAGCGGAACAGGGCATGCGGAGCACGTGTGAAGCGCTCAGGTTGATCCCCAGCACACACACCAAGCCCAGGGGCACGGTGACAGGGTCAGGATGAAGAGAAGGCCACACGGAAGCACCAAGGGAGGTCGCCCTGGGAGCCCAGGTGGGGGAATTCGTTCAGACGTGAGTGCGCTTGGTGCCATGTGCTTCCCCAGCAGCAGTGGCTCCAGTGGCCACAAGAGGACCATGGAGCTGGGAATGCAAGCGGCCGTGAAGGCTGTCCCCGAAGGGCTGGAGGAAGCAGCTGCCCGTGTGCGCGGGCACGGGGGCCACTCACCGAATGGCACGATAATGGGGCAGGTGATGCTGTAGGCCATGATGACGGTGAAGACGCAGAGCATCCAGGCGTACATGGCTCCAAACTCGAACTCGTAGGCCTGGTTCTGGGAGCAAGAGGTTGGGAGGCGCTCAGGAGGCAGGAGACCCTCGGCGACCCACTGCAGAAGGGGTCCCTATCCAGCCTGTGGCAGCTTCTCAGACTGTGCCTTCAGGGCACAAGGAGGCAGCACATGCTCAAGCCTCTAGTGAAGGAGACAGTGCATGGCGAGGCCACCAGAAGGGGCACTGTGCACACCCAGGTCTCCTAGACACGGTTGGAGCCGGCGGCCTAAGGACAGCCATGGAGTGATTCCTGGACTTGGCACCAGAGGATGTGCCTCTGTAACCAGGGACACCGGTGCCGCTGGGGCCCTGGGAATTGAGCAAAACGTATTTGCCTCCCTCACAGCACCCACCAAGGCTGAGGGAGTCACAGGCCCTGGGCCACCTAATGTAGGGAGTGCTGGAACAAGTGCTGCAAACTCGAAATGCTTTCGGTACCTGGCCTCTGCTAAGAACACATGCAAATGGACGCCCAGGGAAAAGGCAGCCGTGGGCTGTGCCCTCGACCCCACCCTGCCCTTTGTTCGTGCTGGGGATGGAACCCAAGGCCTGGAGCTTCCTAAGCAGAGCTCTCCCAGTTCGTGCCAGCTGGAGCTCAGGAGCCTGGAGACTGGGGTGTGTGGATGGGTGGATGCAGCCAAACTGGTCACAGGGAAAGTCTCAAGCTCTCTCCTCCAGCCCTGCACTAAGAACCTGGGTTGTGGAGAAGCTGCTAGCAGAGGTGGCCCTGGTCCAGGTGTGAGAACCAAGGGTGGGAAAAGCCGAGCCAGGTGGAGGTGAGAGAACTAGGAGGCTGGAGGGAGTCGGAGGCGCCACCTGCTCGACATTCCTGCGCTCAGCCGCTGTCCTGGCCATGACCATGCGGCAGGTGTAGAGGATGAGGCCCGGCAGCCGCAGCAGCTCCATGCCACTGCCGATGAAGGCTGAGGCGATCACATAGTTCACGAAGAAGGCGCCCTGGTCCGGCAGGAAGACACACCTGGGGACAGGGCTGGAGTGGAGCTGAGCCTCTTTCCCACTGAAGGAGGCAGGCACCTGAAGCGCTGCCTTTACACATGCTCTGAGGGACACAGACACACGCTGTGCCTGGCCACTGCTCAGGGGAACTCAGCAGGTGGGAGAGGCTCCACGGAGCAGCCCGCAGGCGGAGGAGCCCCTCTCCTAAGGGGACTGCGGGGATGGAGAGGGAGGCCTCTGGGCCCTGGGGAAGGTGGGTGCAGAGTACAGCACATCTGAGGAGCGGCGTGTCCAGCGCTTCCACACTGGGGCAGGTGGGGAAGGAGGCGCTAGGTGTAAAAGGCTGGGGTAGGCCCTCCCGGAGCAGGGGCTGCCCTGAAGATGGGAGGGATGAGGGCAGGGAGACCACGCTGATGGCTTCACACTGGCCTGCATCCCCAGGCAGAGGTCTGGTAGAGGTGGGGAGCCGTGGGCAGAGTCCAGAAAACCTGAGAAACACAGCCGTGGGTTCTGCTGCTGGAGGAGGCGTGGTGGGGAGGGAAAGGAAGGCAACCCCGTGAACTGCAAGGCTCTCCACAGAGAGCAACTAGAGACGCTGCGGAAAGCAACATGGTAGGAGCACAGGGCCTGGACGTGAAGCTGGCACGGAGGGGGGGAGTGGGCAGAGCGCCATCCGAGTCGGGGGCAGGACTGTGCGGGCGCAGGTCGGGTGAGGAAAGTGGGTGTGGTTGGCACGTGTTGGGTGCTGGCGTCTCCCTCAGGCCTGGCACACAGGGAGTGTGCGCTCTGCCACCAGACTGCCCCCGGGGCTCCGTGTTGACACATTTTAACGCAGTAGCTGAGTGGCACTGGAGTCACAGTGCAGTGGAAGCTGCTGAGAGGACTGAAGCCGAGGACGGAATGTCTCGGAACGAACCCCAGGCAGCCACGTCTGGAGCTGGGAGACTCGAAGGACTCCAAGGAAGGCTGGGAACGGGGAGCCCAGGCTGGGGGTGTCCAGCGGGCAGATTCTCAGGAGGCTCACGGATGGCAGAAGACAAGGAAGAGGGCTGGCCACCGAGTCTGTGGACCTGGATGTCACCGTCACCCTGGCCCAGAGCTGTGGGCACGTGTGAATCGGCGGTGACTGCCAGCTCCTCAGCGCTCAGCCACCTGGCCCCGGCCGGCGGCGAGAACTCATCTGAAATAATCCACAGGCCCTCACAGGAAGCGAGCCGGCCTGCCCTGGAACCACGCCCTCGGAAAGTCAGCCCCACCTCCCGCTCTGTGAAGGCTGGCTTGGATCCCCGCTCTGCCCCTTCACCACCCTAGCTCCTAGGTTCGGTTCACAGACTAAGTCTTTCGACCATTTTGGTCGTAAACCAAATAGGGCAAGAACCCACTCAGATTCAGTGCTTAGGCTCAATGTTGACCTCACGGGAAGTTTGATTCAGTTCTCATACAATTCGGTTTGGGACTAGAAACATGGAAAGAATTAAGTTTGTGAGCTGGGTAACCCTTGATGGGTCCCTCATCATCTCGGAGCCTCAGACTCCTCATGGGTCAATGGAGATGCTGTCAGTAGCTACCTGGCAGCCTCCTACAGTGGCTAAAAGAGAAAAAACCTGTACGGACCACTTAGCGTGGTGCCTTCTTAAACCACTGCTAGTGCTAGGGCACGGGCATCGAATCACCGTACAACCCTAACAAGGACACACAGAGGCCAGGTGTTGACCTCCACTCTCCTGACACAAATAATCCCCAGGTCAGACAGCCGCCCTGCTGCTGTGCTGAATGACTCTTCTCCGTCCCGGCTACCTGGCACCCCGAGCCCTGTCGGTTCTTGCCTCTGTGGCCGTGCCTGGTAAGGTTCAAAGGATGACAGTGCCAGTACTGGAGCTTGGGCCTAAAAATAGCCCATGTGCATCCCCGGCACCCGCAGTGGGGCAGCCCTGGTCCCTGCTGTCTGGGGAGGGAGTCTGGTCGGAAGCACAGGCCACCACCCATGGAGCGTGCCCCGGGCTGGGGCTCCAGGACCCGACATGGCTGATACTTACTCCAACCTTATCGAGCCCTCCGAGGAAGTGTTGTCAAAGAGCCACCGGAAGAAAAAATCCAGGCTGAAAAGCAAGTGAATCCTTTAAGAGTTTATTTCTTCCTCTTCTTCCTTCCTGGACCTTCCCTCCACCTCTCTTCCTTCCTTCTATGGTGCTGGGGATGGGACCTAGCACCTTGTGCATGTTGGACAAGTTCTCTGTCACTGGGGTGGGACCCCAGCCTCAAAGACTTTATTTCCAATACTCCATGTGGTCACAAGCAATTCCCATTCTGTGTCACTATGAAAAGAGGCTGAATATCAAAATGCGTCACTGTTTTCTCTGATGCCACTTGAACAGTGTGACGCACCAGGCAGCCTTCAGTGAAACGCCCTTCTTGGAGATAAGCCCAGCCAGAATTAGACCTTACCAACGTATGTGTGTGTGTTCGTGTGCGGCGGTACTCTATAAGTTTGTTTGTAAGCTCCCCCTACCCTCCCAGAAAGATCGTCTTTCCGGGAGAATCAGTGGACCAGCATAACTGCACTCCAACAGGCTACTGCCGCCTCCAAAGTGGTTTGGGCTTTCCATCCGGTCCAGACCGTTTCCGTCCCCAAGGCGGCAGTGCTCTACAGCTGTGGGCCTGATTCTGAACTCAGGGCAGGAGACGCTGGGTATACCTGGTAAGGCCAAGGGAGGGCAGGATCAGCACCATGAAGATCAAGAATATGTAGACCTTGGTCATCGTGTTCCAGTTTTCCCCCGACCTGCAGGAAGCCAGAGGGGAGCACTCGTTCACGGTCCCCAATGCTCCGGGTGCTGCAGCGAGGCCTGCCTTGCACCCCGTGCCCCAGCTAGAGTCCAGGGTCCTTCCCAGGGAGACCTCAAGGCTCAGCACTCACTTGGTCCAGTGCGACTCCAGCAGCGTCGAGTAGTAGACTATGGTGGGGAGCAGGGCTGAGAAGGACCAGAGGAGGAGGGTTGGGAAGAACTGGCTGATGACTGGGTTCTGGAAGGCAAGGCCCGGCGGAGAGAGTGGGAGGGTCTGTGGAGCGCAGGGCTGAGGCCATGGCCTGTTGGCCCAGGGCTCCAGGGGTAGGTTCTGCTCTTCCTCCAGACCAGGGCTGTGCATGCCCAGGCCCCAAATCTTGACTGAATAAACAACAGCTCCTCAGAGCAGTATAGCTGGAGGACTTCCAGCACCTGTCTTTCAGCAGAATCTCAATGCACTTTCTAGGCCAAAGTGCTCTTCACACAAGAGGCCTCAAAAACATGTGCTACAGAATTCAGCACTGCAGACAGCTAGGATGTGTTGTGAATTTTGTTAAATGTAAGTTCAAGAGTGGAGTGGGCTTGTAAACTCACAGCGCTCTAGCTCCTTTCTCAAAGCAGAAATCAGTCTTCAGAATTGTCCATCAATTTGCACTTCAATTTTCCTACAACCGTTCTTCTCGCGGCAGCTCTCACACGCAAGTGAAAGGGAGGTTAAGATAAAAAGTGCAGTTCCTTCTCAAAGAAAGCAGCTAGAGCACTGTGAGTTTACCAGTGCACTCCACGTTCGGACTTACATCCAACACCATTCAAAACACATTCTAGCTGTCTGCATTGCTGAATTTTGTAGCACATCTTTATGAGGCCTCTACCGCAAATAGCACTTTGGCCTAGAAAGTGCACTGAGGTTCTGCTGAAAGACAGAATGTGGTCATTGTGTACTGCTAACGTGGACTAATAAAAATCTTTAAAAGCCAGTCAAATGCTTAAGACTATTAGCTATAACCCCCACACACACCTATAAAAGCCCTATGAAATCAGCTCGCCTGCTCAATCAGCGACTTTCACACCCCGGGGAGCGCCCTCCAAACTGCACCCACTCTTGGGGTCTCGGTGATCTCACTCACCATGCACCTCGTGCCTCCGTTCAAGGAACAGGGGCCAGTAGCCTTGTATTTACCCCACAGGGCCTGCGCGTGGAGTGATCCCATGGAGGTGTGCTGAGGTTTCGTCCTCAGAACTTGTCATCGTGCCTTTATGCGGTACGAGGACCCTGCAGTGGAACAAGTCAGGATGAGGTCTGCTGAATTTGAGACCCGACCCAGATGCCTGGTGTCCTCACGACACAAGAGGAGGGCGCCAGGCAGCGAGGAGGCACCTGCGGGCCCGGAAGGCCAAGGGCTGGAGAGAGGAGAACTTGCCCCGTCCTGTCACCCTCAGCGCCCCCGTTCATGGCACTTTGCTCCTGCAGCTCCAGACTCAGTCCCAGCAGGCCTTTAGTGAATGGTTATCCAGTGAAGGGGGAGGCTGGACCCTGCGCTACAGCACACTCTCTTTCTCCTCTCACAACACTGAATCTCTGTCTTCCATGTCTTCGAATCGCTTCAGAATAGAGGCACATAGACTGCATAGAAAACACATCGCACGTAATGACCCGTGAAAGAAAGACCTCACGGCCCTGCTCCAGCCCCTCTGCCCCCAGAGACCACACCCACAGCCCTGGAGACCACACAGGACCCAGGACCAGGCCGCTCCCCTCTGCAGAACTCGGGCCCACTTTGGCTGGGACAGTCTTGGTTTGCAGCCTCCGCCAGCTGGAGGACATGGCCTACCTCCACTGCTGCCCCTTCTGCCCACCACAGCAAGGAGGCCACAGAGGCAGAGTCCACTACACGAACAGGCATCTGACGTGAGCAGCCGGGCTCACCTGGGTGGGAGGGCACAGCAAAGCTTTTCCTCCTTCCCCACTGCTGTGGGCATTGGGAGTAACCCCCCTGCACCTGTGCCCATTCCCTGCCCTGCCCTGGTGACCACCCACCAGGGCCACGTGAGCTTCATCCTGGAGGAGCAGTGTGTGCTGGGGCTCTGCGAGGACCTGAGGTGGCCCAGCCCTTCTGGCCGCACAGGTGGGCACCTCCAGGGCATCCCCTTCTTCCTCTGTCTCACCAGGCCGGCACCCTGGTCTCCAGCAAAAGCCCACCCTACAGGTGGGTTACAGGGTTACAGGTCACCCACTGCATAGCCACAAGGTGTTCTTTTTGCATCCACCCTTTTGTGCAGATGTTAGGATAAAAAATGCGCTGACAGACTGGAGTCTGAAGAGGAAGAGCTGCTCTGGGCCAGTGGACGAGTGGATCCCACCTGACACAAGCAATTCAAGACCAAAGCTGAACTGAAGCTGTCACCGGGACGGGGGCCACCTGGGGACCCAGCGCCTCCCCCTTCAGATGGCACCACTGGGGCCACCGAGGCTCTGCTGTCCCTCCACGGACACAGACCACCCAGGAGCTCACCTCCCCACCTGCCCACCTCGGGAGCCCGGTGAGGGCTCCAGACTCAACTCCTCTGCCCACCATTGGCCTCCTGCTGGCCAGCAGCACACTGGACTATTGCTCAGATGTGAGGCTTTTGTGACATGCCCACAGGTGGCACTGGATATACAGTCATTGTTTATGGGTTTCAGGTCATTCTTTTAAAAACAATGTTTGTTTATATTCTGATCATAAAATAAAAGTATAACAATACACAATCATTATAGAAATTGTGAGACACAAAAGAGGAAAATCCAAGTGTCCTATTACTCTATGCTGTAAACTGGCACCAGGATTATTATTAACACCTGGTTTTCCTTCTTGCTTGTTTATGAGGCTATATAGAGATACATGTATCTGTTTCTGTAGAAACTGATTCACCAACTCCTTTACATATTGTACCCTGTTTCTATTGCCTAACATTGCATCAATATCAGTTTTCCGTAGCTTTAAAGTCTTTCTAGAAAAGCTTTGCGTGAAATTCTCCATGACATTCCACCACGGCCTTTAGTAAAACCATGTTGTGCTATAAATATAGAGTAGAGTGGCTGGTAGCAGAGCGTTCATCAGTCAGAGCTCAATATCAGCATGTTCCAGCCCATTTTAGGGTTTGCTGCCTTGGTGATAACCATCATAGGAAGTCCACATTTTCATTCAATAGCCAAATTCACTGCTGCTTTCGTGAAGTGAAAAAAGTAAAATCTCCTGCAGTGAAACCAGTCCTTTCTCTCTTTTGAAATTAAAAAACTATCTCAGCAGCTCACATGATTCCTTGGACAGATGAGTGATAAGCGAGCCTGCGGTTTGCAGGGTCAGGCGCACACAGATCCCCACGGCTGCCCTGTCCTGCTTCCCAGCAGTGGCAGCCCTGGAAGCCAGAGCCGACACCCCATGCCCCAGCACGGGCGCAGCCCGCTCCAGGAGGGCTCGGCCCCCCAGCCCTCGGCTGGCCAGTGCCTGTCCTCCATGCTGCTGAAATGAAGGATCAGGGCAGGGACTTTGGAACAGCAGCAGGCGACTGCACACAGCGTGAAGCCTGGGGGTCCATGCTCAAGTCAACAGCAGGAGCAGGATCTGGCGGGGCTCGGCTTCCACCACCGCCTCATCCGGCTGCCTTCTCCACGTCAGGAAGGCGGAAGCACGATGACCTTCTTCCTTCATCCCCAGAAGGGCCCCGTCCATCCCCAAGGGCAGAGCTGCCTCTAGGCCCCAGCTCCCAGGGCCGTCACACTGGGCTGAGCCTCGGGTTGGAGACACTGGGTTCAAAGCACAGCACGCCCTCCTGTGGGTCAGTGCTGTGACAGGCACTATGGAGAGAAGATGGGCACATTTGCAACAGGAAGTCTGTGACCCAGGCAGGTCCCGCCAGAGAGCCCCAACCCGAGGCTGCCAGACCCAGGCCCACCGAGGGGGCACGGGGCCTGCAGGGTCCCCAGGCACCTCTGCTCCTCCCACAGCAGGGGCTGGGACAGCCAGAGCACCTGACCTCATGGGTGCAGGCGACGGACTGCCCAGGTCTCCTGTGGGCCCCTGCCGCCTGGCCCTCCAGCCCAGACCTGACCGCTGCTCTGTTCTCTGGGCCTCTCTGACAGCCTCCACTCAGCTGAACTCTCTGCTTCCTGCTCTGGACCCACCTGGACCGCCCTGTCTCCCCCACAGCGAAGGTCACACTCGCTGAACACTGCTGGCTCCACGATGCTCCAGTGGTCCACGCACAGCCGCCTTCTCCCTCCCACAGGACACACGCTGCTGTCCCAGCCCGCGCGTAGGCAGAAGACCAGCACTGCGACACACGCGCCGACAGCTGGCTTGCCCGGGGTCAGAAGGGCACACCCACGGCCATCACTCGGGAGGGGGCGGACAGGGCTGGTGTGGACCCAGCTATGAACTGGCGATGTGCGCTGCCACAATGGTCCCGGGTGCTGGGGACAAGAAAACGTCCTCGGTCAGTTCCCGGGAGTCAGGCATTTCAGTAAAAGACACTGTCCTCTCCTGGACTTAAGCAAAACTGCTGGCAGCAAACACACAGAGCACACGGAAGCGAAGTGTTCACGCCTCTCCCATCACAAATCCTGACAATCCTCTCGGGGCAAGAAGCAGAAACCCAGCACTCATAGTCAGAACAATAAGAGGCTTTTGTTTCATGTGACTAAAAAGCACAGGAATGCTATATCACCAGAGCTGGATGAGCATGCCCAGCTTGGCCTCTGTCTCATGCCTGGAGTGGATTCTTGGGGGCTACATCTAGACAGGTACTTCCCTGTGTCAGCGAGACGGCCCCCAGGGCTCCAACAACCCCCTGCCACCCTCCACACCAGGGGAGAAAGCCTCTCTCCCAGAAGATTCTCAGCATTTCAGGAAGTAAGTTGCACACCTGCGGCCTCGTCTCTCAACTGAAACACCAAGGCCTCAGCGTATTAGTCACCCTTTCCGTTGCTGTGAGCAAATGCCTGAGAACAATGACTAAAAGGAGAGGTTTATTTTGGCTCACAGCTCCTGCGGGTTTAGTCCGTGGTTGGCTGCTCCAAGGCAGGAACATCATGGCAGAATAGCCTGGCACAAGGAAGCTGCTCACCTCATGGCAGCCAGGAAGCAGAGAAGGAGGGAAAGGGTCCAAGAAGGGATCCGCAGGCTAGTCCATGGATGAGTATGGTGCCTCCTGATCCAGTCACCTTCCAAAAGCCCCCCTCAGACACAGGAGACGCCAGGGGACTCTCTGGATGTAAACCACACCCCAGAGGAAAGAGACCGACCACCCAAGCTGAGCACCAGGAAAGGCTGTTTCTCTGAAAGAAAGTCAGGGTGCTCTTCTCCTAAGAGGGAGATATTGGCCCCCAAAGGCAAAAGTAACA